CTCTTATTTATTTATTTATTTTTAAAATATATTTTATTGATTTTTTTACAGAGCGAAAGGGAGAGAGATAGAGAGCTAGAAACATTGATGAGAGAGAAATATCGACCAGCTGCCTCCTGCACACCCCCCACCGGGAATGTGGCCACAACCAATGTACATGCCCCTGACCGGAATCGAACCCGGGACCCTTCAGTCCACAGACCGACGCTCTACCACTCAGCCAAACCAGCTTTGGCTAACTGTTTTTCTCTTGCTGCCTTTAAGATTCTCTCTTTGTCTTTTGCCCTTGGCATTTTAATTATGATGTGTTTTGGTGTGGTCCTCTTTGGATTCTTCTTGTTTGGGGTTCTGTGCACTTCCTGGACTTGTAAGTCTATTTCTTTCACCAGGCAGGGGAAATTTTCTGTCATCATTTCTTCAAATAGATTTTCAATATCTTGCTCTTTCTCTTCTTCTGGAACCCCCCATAATTCAGATGTTGGTATACCTGAAGTTGTCCCAGAGGCTATCTCCATATTTTTGGATTTTTTTTTCCTTCTTGCTTTTACAGTTGGGTGTTTTTTGCTTCTTCATATTTCAAATCTTTGACTTGATTCTTGAGATTCTCTAGCCTGCTGTTGAATCTCTATGTATTATTCTTTTTTTTCCAAACTGTATCCAGCTTCATTAAAGATACTTTTCATAAACAATCATGGTATTTCAGGCAGGACACGGGCAGACAATCATTAACAGTGCACAACAATTTTCAAACTCCCTTATTCAATGAACTACCAAAATCAGAAAGCCACTATAAAACCCAATGAAGTCTTAATCTGATGCTCTGAACAGGAAAAGTTTAGAGTGAGGGTTGACATTTCACATTAAACACCCTGAATTTCAGGAAATGAAATGAAAATGGCAGAGAATATCAATCTGTAGATCCACAATCTAAAAAAGGAACTGCTTCTCTTTTGAGGAATGTCATCTCAATGGTGACACTGGAAAATCCAGTTTGCCCAACATACTGGCAATCAATTTTTTAAAATCAGATCCCAATAGGTCTCTGGGCTTAAGACAGCCAAAGTCTATGCTTATAGTGGAGAGGGAGAAAAGGACATAAACATGAATTTTAGTTTTCCCACATGACAAGGTGTTTGTGCCAAGATGGCTAATGTGTGCCAACATCAAGAGATCCCTCCTCCCAGGAACCAAGAGAAAATTTCTCAAAACTAGAAGGGAAAGGTATTTCTCCCCCATGTCAATCTAGCTTTTGAGATATTCTATTAGTACTATATGTCTTTCCACCCAAAAATAACAATGAAGTGTTCTGTGTGCTAACAACACAGCTTAAAAAAGTAAAACAAAATTCTGCATTTTTACAAAACTTGATTAAAAAAATAGTATTTCAAACTGTACAGTCACCAGAAATACAGTTATGAAAAATGCATATACTTCACTTGGCATCTCCAGCACCTTCAGCTTTCTGTGACTGGTCTGTTTTGGCAACTCCATTATCTGCAGAATTATTTCCACCTTTGCCAGCATCAGCCTTCTCTTTTCCCTTTTGGTACCTTCTCTCCTTTCTTTGCGGGGGCCTCTTTAGGCTTGGGCTCTGGCTCTGGAGGAGCAGGTTTAGCTGATGACCCTGCAGATCTTCTCTGTGGTTCATCCTTCACCTTGGCTTTATCTCCTTTAGCATCCCCTTCATCCTTTCTCTTGGACATGATGGCAGTGGTGGCGGGACATCTGAGTGGGATGCAGGGGTGCAGCAGTGTGCAGGCCTTGCTCAGTTTGGGGGTTGATCTCCTCTCCTCACACTGCTCCTGTATATTATTCTTTATTTCAGTCAGTGTATGCTTAATTTCTGATTGGTCCTTTTTCATATTCTTTAAAAATCTCACTAAATTTCTCAGAGGTTTCTAGAAGATTCTTGAGTAACTTTATAACCATAGTTTTGAACTCTATATCCAATAGTTTGCTTTCCTCCATTTCTTTCATTTGTGATATGTTTCTCTGTCTCTGCATTTTGGCAGCTTCCCTGTGTTGATAGAGTGGCTTTGCATGTTAGGTGTCCTATAGGGCCCAGTGACTCAGACTCCCCAATTACCTGAGGTGGACGCTCTCGGTGCACCTCTGTGTGGTCTGTGTGCACAATCTTGTTGTAGTTGAGCCTTGATTGCTCTTGGTATCACTGGGAGGAATTGACCTTCAGGCCAATTGACTGTGAGGACCAACTGTGTCTACAATGGGAGAATTGCTGTACGGGAGACACTCTTATAGGACAGGACTTGCTTCAGTGGGGCTTTGATGATCACGGAGTCTGCCTCTTGAGAGTGTCACTTATGGATGTGAAGAGTTGTAATCTGGAATGGTCTGACACTGACCACTGGTTACACTGGCTCTTGAATCTCCAGTCAGCCACTGCCTGAGGCCACCCAGCAGGAGCTAGAGAGAGATCTACAGATTCCTCCTCTTTGGACTGTCTGGCATTGGGCCAGAACAGAACAGTGGCTTTCTCTTGGAGGTGCTCACACCGATCATTGTTCCTGCACTGGGGCCCTGGGACACAGAGACCCAGAGACCTCTCCAGGCCATGGCTGACTGGCAGCCATTGTTGTTTGTTCTGTCTTGGTGATTCCCCGAGACCGCACCACACCCAATTTATAACCCCACCCAAGCTGTGGGCAGCAGGTTTTGCATGTGAATGGCCTGTCCTTTTGCAGCCTAAAACCTAACAAACTGCAGCTGGGTCATAGAACTCCTAAGTTCCAAATGAAGGCCAAAGACCTAGCAGCAGCAGCCTGCATTGATTTATGGCTTGGTCTCATCTGGGCACTTCCAAACCCCAAACAAAGAAGAGAGAGAAGAAAGGAGGGAGAGAGGGAAAGAGAGAGGCAAAGAGAGAGAGAAAGGGAGAGAAAGGGAGAGAAAGAGAGAGAAAAAGAGGGAGAGAGAGAGAAAGAGAGGGAGAGAGAGAGAGAGAGAGAGAGAGAGAGAGAGAGAGAGAGAGAGAGAGAGACTGAGAAAGAGAGAGAAGCATTGAACAGTTGCCTTCCATATGCTTCCCAAATGGGGATGAAACCCACTACCCAGGTACATACATGTCCTGACTGGGAACCTTTTAGTACACAGGAGGATGCTGAACCAACTGAGCCACTCCAGCCAAATTTTTCCCCCCTATCAGATCCTTTTTTGAAGCAACCCATAGAATACTAAATGTAGTAGAATACTTTGTGAATCCTATATAATTCAAGGTTTGGTAAATCAGTATCACTAATAATATTACTTCCAGTGTAACTTTACCATAAATCGTCTGCAGATACTTCTCATTTCAAAGGACATGAATTCAAGGTGAATTGGTCAAAGATTCTAAATTTTTGTGTATATGAAGTGAAGTTTTAATGATTTTTAAGTTCCTATTATAAAGCACTTTAAGTAGCTAATTTTAAGAATCTCTTCTATAGAGCACAAAAATAATACCTCATTTTTAAGTTGGTACTAAGTCCTTAGGTGCTAACTTCCTTAGGTGATCTTCTGAGTTCATTAAAGAAATCTATAGAACAGGTCAACTATAATTTTTCCTATTATATAGTTTCTTGTAGTTCCTTTTACTGTATAAAGTTACTAAATTAGGTATAATAGTTTCATATGAAATCCTCACATATTTGTTTATATTTTGAGCCTTACTAAGTTATAGCAATTCACATACAATTTGAGCAACAAATTTTAAAAGCTTTGCACATTTTCTTTTTATCAGAATTAAATATTTTCTCCACTCAATCCATCAAGAACATGAGTGTTATTAAAGTTTATAAAGTAAGGTAAATTTTAAAACAAATGGCTAATTTATTACTCTTAAATGAATAAAAATTAACATAAAAACATGAGTAATTTTAAGAACAAAAGTAGTTAATAATAAAAATATATGGATGGTATTCATTAAGCATTTTCCCAAGTGTATATGGTTTAAAAAATTCTGATCGATCAGACTTAACTTGCAAAGAGCATTTAAAAATGTGTAAATAGATAAAATGCTCATATGAATACTTCTTAGTAAATAGCAATGAAAAGTAACAGCATTTTTTTTTTTAATTTTAGAGAAATAAATATTGATCAGTTGCCCATAGAATCCACAACCCAGGTATGTACCCTGACCAGGAATCAACCCTGTCTCCTTTAGGTGCATGGTTCAAGGCTCCAACCAACTGAGCCACACCAGTTAGGGCTAAAGTAACAACATTTTAATTACATTACAAAATATTTTTGGTATTTACTATTTATTATATTATAAAGGACAATTTAGAGCACAGTCCTACTGTAATGTGTTAATTGACAATATTTTTAATGTGGGATAATCTTTCTCAAATTTTATTTGCAACCCACTGGAAGATTGAGGCTTAAATGAGCATATTTTTAGCAGGATTTATTTTATTTTTACTAAAAGGAATAGAATAGAATAGAACAGAACAGAATAGAATAGAATAGAATAGGATTAGTAATGAGATTATTTATAAGACATTTGCTTCATTTAAATACAACCTTTTACATGTGTGTATATGTATATAAAGTATATATGTGTATACATATTTCATATACTTATGTGTATTCACACAATGTACATATGTGTGTATATACAAACAAATAAATATAGACACAAATATAAGTAAAATATATATAAGTCTGGGTACGTGATTACCAACAATACAATAGTTTTCACCTTGGGTCCTGGTCACCAAAGTTCGAAAGACACTGAGAAGAAGCTGAGTATATTCTTGTTTTAGGCTGTATGAGAAGAATTTTGGGTAATAATTAACTATGTGTAGCTGTTAAATCTCTTAGAAGTTGAAGAAACTAAAAAACATCCAGCGGGCAAATACTGGGTTTATTCATTGTAGCCTACCTACATGACGCTGAAGGATAAAGGAGAGCATAATATTTACTTATGACACGAGAATTTTTAATGCTAATGAAAAAAATGACTTAGCAAACAAGAAATGTAATGTTGCCACAGTGGTACTAACCATATTCTATTGCAGCCTTGAGTAATGCTTCAGCGTGAGTGGAGCCAAATGCATTACGAACAAATCGTCTCCTTCGACGAAGATCATCTTCCCAGTAATCCAAACGCCAGAAATCATGTAATTGGCTATTAATGGGAAAACAAAGAGAGAATAATATACTATTACTAATAATGTATAACTGAACACTTTTTTCTATAAAATTAAATATTTATTTGATCTCACTAGAAAATTAAGACAATTTTGAGATATTTATAATTTTATTTGTATACATATGTTTATAAATGAACACAACTTAAAATAGTAACATTCTCTGATTTAAGCATTATAATACTCAGCTCTGCTTTCTTTTTAATGTTCTTCCTTCTCCTAAAAAAACCCACATTAATCATGGGGAGTTTAGTAATAAATGTAGCATCAAATTACAAGTATTAATATCAGTTTGCATTCTTTTACAATATTTTTAACAAGGCTTGTAAATCACAGGATAGATCTCACTACAAAGAGTGTGCAATTTAATGACTCTGGTTTCACAGTAGACTGAATTAAGAACTATAAAATACTGTTCACTTGGATTTGGTGGAACAAAGTAATGTGGTGAAATATTCATTGAAATAATTCCCTGCTGCCCACAGCAACCTGAGAAAAGTGCAATTTTATCCATTATTAATAATACTGAATTAGGGCTGCAAAAGTTCCAGTATGTGGTAATTGTCTTGGTAAATTATTATTCTAATGCTAACAGAGTCATTGGATGATTTTACAGCTTTTAGCTAATATAAAACATTAACAATCATGGCCATCATTGAGTAACATCATCTAAACTGTGTTACACTCTAAACCAATATTAAAAATCCATTTGATATGCCAGAAACTACTGAAGTGTGTTCATTGCATATCAATGGAATATTTCAGATATTCCCCCCAATTTAATTTCAATACAAATTGATAATAAATGCACTGCTTGAGAAGCCTGTTTTCCTCTATATAGTATTTGGAATAATTAATTTTTGAAAAACATTTCAGATTTTATAGCTATAAATTTTGTTTTCTATAACTTAATTATAAAGCCATAATGTATGGAATCTATAATAATAAAAGTGTAATATGTTAATTAGACTGGACGTCCTTTTAGATGAAGGAAGGGAAGCTAGGGTCCTAGGTGCCAGAGGGAAGCTGGTGTCGCCAGACAGGTGAAGGAAGGCCTACTCTTGCATGAATTTTGTGCATCAGAACTCTAGTATATAAATAACATTAAAATTATAAGCATTTGCAGTATATTTTAATGTACTTATTTTTCTAAACATCATCATCATATTACTCAATTTTTGTCAAAATAATGATTACCTGATGAATAATTGTTACAAACAGTAAAACTCTGTTATTAAGATAGGATAATTTATATTCTTACAAATACAGACTTATCCTAGTGGTTTAAGGAAAACCATAAATCTTGCCATAAATATTTTCCTTAAGTGTATGTTAAAATTAAGCAAATGAATTCACTGGAAGAAATCAGAAATTTACTATTTTTCTCAAATTCTAGCCATATACTTTTTTCTATTTCTCTCATTAAGTGCAACTGAAAAAAAAAATTTGGACTTTATATATATAAAACATTAGACATTATATATTAAAAAAACAAAACATGACTGGACAACAGAAGGAAACTGGCTAAAGACTTTGGAACTTTAAGAAACAACACAATAATAAGTTTTCTGGGCAATCTTTTCCTCTCATATATCCTACACCTTGAGGCAAAAAGTTCAGCAACCAGTTAGCCAATTAGTTCAGACTGTCCCCCCGCCCAAAAAAAAAGAAGGCCCCAACAAAAGTCTCTTTCTCTAGCCAAAGGAGCTGGAAAGGGACAGCCTAGGAAGACAGAAAATGTTTAGACAACTTCTGTATTTTTGCCAAACACCACAGAGAAACTGTGACCCCCGTCTACTCACACTAACAAAAGACGAATGGGAAGTCTAGATGTGAAGTTCACAGAGGTGTATTAAGATGCCCTAGCACCCTTACTGGGGTGGAATCAAAGAAGGCCAAATAGGGATCCAGGACTTTCATCTCTGCTGGCGGGTAACAAGGTGCCCACCCCAAGCAACCAGCAGAGGCCACTTAGGAAGCCTGGAATTCCAGCCCCACCGAACAGTCATGAGGCGTCTTTCCCTCTCCCCACTGACCAGCAACAATAGGGCCACTCCACTAGTGGACAGCAGGTGAGGCATTGGAACTCCTACCCTCCCAGGCAGTAATGGGGAGCTACCCACTCCTTGGATGTCAATGGAGCGGAAGTGGGAAACATAAATTTCTACTTTCACTTGGCCGTGAAGAGGGAGTGACTCCTACTTCCTATGGACAACTTCAGAATAAGCCAACTAAAACAGAAGGCTTAAATAAGATAAGATATCTCAGAAAATGTCAGGTTTCAATCTCAAATTACTTATACAAGAATGAGGATGATCTCAAATAGAATATAAAAGGTTCATCAATAGATGCCAATGGTGAGATGACAGGAATGTTAGAATTTTCTGTCAAGAATTTTAAACTAGCCATGATAGAAATGCTTCATGAACAATTATGAACTTACCTGAAACAATGAAAAGAATAGAAAAATAGCAAAACCCCAAAAGAAAACAAGACAAACAAACAAACAAAAAACCCACAAAAAAACAGCCAAAGCACATATCACACTAAAAGCTATGGTGGCCAAAGGAAGTGGCTGAAAGAAAAGAATTGTCAGCCCAGAATAATACAACCAGTGAAAATATCCTTCAGAAATGAAGTAGAAATGAAGACTCTTTCAGATAAAGAAAAAGAAAATATTTGGTACCATTAGGTCTAGATTAAAAGAATGGCTAAAGGCAGACCTATAAACAAAAGGAAAGCAATAAAAGAAGAAACATTGGAACAAGAGGTGGAAGAAAGCAAAATATGAATAAATATAATAAGCTTTCATTTTCCTCTTGAGTTTTTTTTATGTTTTACCGTAGAACCAAAAGGTATAACACTGATGTTCTGAATGTATACAGAGGTAATATTTAAGACAAATATAAATGAAAGAGGCTAAAGGATGTAAAGAAAGGTACATTTTTATACTTCACTTGGACTAGTAAGGGACACCACCCACACACTGAAAGGCTACCTATACCAATAAAAGCCCTCGCACAATGCCTTCACGTCATTAGAAGATGGCCGCCCCCACATTATCACAAGGTGGCCACCACTAGGTGGCCGGCAGCGGAGGGCAAATTGGAGCAATTGGGCTGGCAGGGGAGTGGTTAGGAGGTGATCAGGCTGGCAAGCAGAATGGTTAGGGGCAATCAGGCAGCCAGGCAAGAGCGGTTGGAGCCAGCAATCCCGGATTTAAAAGGAATGTCTGAGGGGTCCCAGATTGGAGAGGGTGCAGGCCAGACTGAGAAACACTCCCCCAGTGCATGAATTTTGTGCACTATACCTCTGGTATATAAATATTCACACCAAGTGGGATAAGTAAAGATAACAAATAGCTACATATTGGCTTAAGTTAAATTTAGTCATTAGCTATCTTTTCCACAAGCACATGGAAAGAATTTCTGATTTTCAGAACATTTATTTATTTATTTAGATACATTATTTATTTATTTAATAACTAGAGGCCTGGTGCATGGATTCATGCACTGGTGGGGGTCCCTCAGGCTGGCCTGCGGGGATTAAGCCAAAACCGGCTCTCTGACATCACCCGAGGGATCCCAGATTGCGAGAAGGTTCAGGCAAGGCCAAGGGACCCCAATGGTGCATGATAGGGGCGAGGGAGGGACCTCGGGATGGCTCCACAGTGTGTCTGGCTCTTCTCACCCAATCCCAATGGAGACTGATTGGGGCCGACCAGCTGAGAGGAACTGTGGAAAGTTGGTCGTGTGGGGAGAGACCGAGGAAGGGCTCCAGGGTAAATCTGGCCCATCTTTCCTAGTCCTGATCAGCCGGACCCCAGCAGCAATCTAACCTACCAGTTGGAGAGTCTTCCCCCTGGTGGTCAGTGAGCTTCATAGCGACTGGTCAAATGGTTTAACAAATGGTCAGACACTTAGCACATTAGGTTTGTATTATCTACGAATAGAGGCCCAATGCACAAAATTTATGTAAGGGAATCAGCCCTCTCAGCCTCGGCTACCCAGCCTTTGTAGTTCTGGCTGCCACGCCCTCTTCCCATTGATCATTCCAGAAGGTCATTCCACCTTCTGGTCTAATTATCATATTAGCTCTTTATTATAAAGTATTCTTTATTGTTGAAAGTATTACATATGTCTTCCTTTTTTTCCTATTAACCCCCTCCAGCCTTCCCCACCTCCCTTACCCAACCTTAGGCCTTCAGCACCCTATTGTCTATATCCATGGGATATGCATTCATATATACAAACTCTTTGGTTGATTACCTCCCATCTACCCTACCAGAGAGAAAGAGAGAGACAGAGAGAGAGAGACAGAGAGAGAAACAAAGATGACACATCTATCAGCCACCTCCCACATGCCCCCTACTGGAGATCAAGCCTGCAATCCAGGACACCAGTAATGTAACCTATCGGGTCTAGTAATAATTAATGTCGTTTTTAAACATTCGTTTAAAATCTTGCTTGGCGTTGACTTGTATTGACATAACCTTCAAACACGTGGTATCTACAGAACGTGTGAAGTGCAATTAACAAGTTTTGCTTGAAAAAGTTTGTGTTTGGTTTGGTTTTTGTTGCAAAACTAGGGCTAAGAAGATGGCGGATGAAGAGCATATTCGGCACTGCATGCTTTACGAGTTCCAATTAGGAAGAAAAGCAAGTGAGGCTGCAAAAAACATCTGTAGTGCTCTTGGCCAAGATGCAGTTAGCGCCAGAAAATGCCAGCGTTGGTTTGAGAAATTTCGCGAGGGAAATTTTTCGTTAGATGACAAGAGCGGTCGAGGCCGTGTAACCAATTTTGATCAAGAAGCTCTTCAAGCTCTTTTGGTGCAAAATCCTCAAATTACCCAACAAGAGCTTGCGACAACTTTAAATTGTTCACAAAAAAAACAATTTCCAATCAAATGCGTGCACTTGGCAAAGTCCAAAAGTTTGGAAAATGGGTTCCTCATGAGTTGACCTACAACAACCGTAAT